AGAGAACAGCACTGAAAACCCTTCCCAGGGCAGAAAGAGCTGAGATCCTCCTGGTCCTCAGGGCGTGTGGTGAGGCCACAGACCATGTGATGGGACTGCTCATTCAGGAGTCACTCCCTGCAGAGAAGTAGAAGGCATTCATAAACCCTTTTGAACTGTTGCCTTCTTTGACTAAAACAGATGGAAAGGGGCTTGCCTTGCTGATAATTTAGGGGTTTCTGAGCCACAGCAGGCAGCTTCCCAGTGCTGGCTGCCCTATGTTGAGCCACATGTATGTGAAGCAAGTGACTCATCTCACTCCAGGGAAAATGGAGAGGCCTGTGCAAAGCTCTGTGTCCCGCTCAAACTCCCTGACTTTAAGTATTTCTTTCTTGTATTAGCCAACCAGCCATGACAGTATGGCTAGTTCAAGGGCTCACTGCACATTTTTGTTGTCGTGAAGCTTGCATCTTTTCACACAATTAACAGAAAGCAAAAAACCACCAGGAGTTACTGTACTCGTTTGGGTGCTTGTGACTGGGTTCCTCATAGACGCAGTGGGGTTATTCTGGTATGGCTGCAGTGCCGAAGTGTGAACTGCACTTTTTAAGTAAAAAGCTGTCTGATCAAGGAGCAAGGCTATGTGGTCTCCTTTTGCTATAGGACTCACTGGAGACCTAAGAAAGAGCAACAGTGAGTGTTAGGGGGCCTCAAATCTTTGAGAGTTGTTGTACGTCATCCCTTGGATCTTCAGGCAAAGGTCAGAAGGCACTAGCTCCTATGCTTTCCTTGTCTACTGTACAGGGTAAATAGAAACCTAAATTCCTCTGGAATTTCCTCAGAGAAATCATGACCCCTCGGACCAAACACGGTGTGCTCAAGGTGTCAGAGGTAAGGTAACATCAGAGGTAAGGTTGGCGAAAGGCAGCATTTTGGGGCTTCTGTGTACTGTAGAACGCTGTGCACCAGCTCTTGCTGGCAGATTTTTTGCAGGAAGACCTACTCTGGGACTCCAGCAGCACTGAATACTGATCAACTGAAAGAAAAGGCTGTGTGTGGGGGGAGGAAGGTTGGACCAATTTCTCTGCTGGCATAACTCCAGAGGGTGAAATCATAGCCCTATTGAGACGCATAGGATTTTTGCTAGATATGAGATTGCTGAGAAATCTTTTAATAACTCAACGCTGATTTTGCTTTGGATTAAAAGCTCCCTATAACCTTAGCTTACAAATGCTCAAATCTTGCACACAGAATTGAAATCTTCACGAAGCAAATGAGCTTGAAAATGAATTTAGATGCATCAGTGGAACCCCTGCAGGAGAAATCCATTGAATCCATTGAAGGGCTGAATTTGGTAATTGTGGTAAGACTGGCTGAATGGCACAGAGACATTCAAATCCCTCTGTGAAGGAAGGCTTCAGCTTTGACTGCAGCCACACACTTTACCAGACATCCTGTGAAGTGCAGAAGCACAGTTTTGGTGCTGTCTCTTGGTGTGACCCACTCATGCAGTCAGCAATCATTAACATTTTTAAAGATCAGATTATTGCAGGAATTGTAGATATTGACAGTACATCTCTCTTTTCCCATTGCATATTGCTGCCATGGCTTCTGGGCTTCGTTTTACTTGTTGTTCCTGGATATTTGGAAGCCTTCTGGAAGCTCTTGTACCTGAAGATGCACCTGCATTAATGACCTCTGTGCTTCTCCTCTTTGAGGAAAACTGACTACACCTCCTGCAAGGAGGTCAGAAAGCTGGGGCTTTCACTGCCTGCAGATACAACTAGCTAGCCCTAAAAACAAAGCGGGAAAGAAGATGACAGAAAAACAGAATAAATTAATAATAACTCTGGTTTCTTTATACATCATATCATAAGGAAGCAGAGGATAAAATGTGGTTTGCTTTGCAGGTCACCTTCACAGCAAATAGGAATCATTCAATCACTGCTGGATAACGTCAAAGTCACTCTCATGGACTGACTACTGGAATGCTGATTAAAAAAATACGAGAAAGATTTTAAATGTTTCTTTGTGAGAGAGAGCCAAAGTGTTCATAAGTGGAGAAAGAGACATCTTAACGCTTTCTTAAAACGGACCTGGAAAAATCATGTATCTCCCTGACAATTAAAGAGAAGATGACCAGTTCTGTCTTCCCAACTCAGTCCCGGACACTTACTGATACAGTGGAAGTTTGTGACCTTGTCTTCTTACTCCTCGTGTCAAGCTTTGTGTTGCTTTATGCACTTGGCAGACAGGAAAACTCTTCACAGAAATCACAGAATTTTAAGTCAGTGGAGACTTTTGAGATGATCGAGTCCAACTGCTCCCAGGCGAGGTGAGCTACAGCAGGTTGCCAAGGACCATGCCTACTTGGTTTTGAATATATATTTCCATGAATGGAAACTCAACATCCTCTCGGGGCAACTTGTTCCAGTTTTTTGACCACCTTCACAGAAAATTAAAGAAGAAATCTCAAATGTCTGTTTGAGCTTCTTGTCCTGTCTTTGGGCACTACTGAGAAAAGCCTGCCTGCCTTCCTCCTGCTGTCTTCTCTTGATTTCATACTTGTTGGGATGGATCTTTCTTAAGCATGGAAGTGATCCTTGAATGCCAACCAGCAACTCTGTACCTGTTCTCCCCATGACTGTATTACAAGCGGATCTTTGAAGAGGCCAAAGCTCGTTCTTCTGAAACCAAGGTTGCGGTCCTGCCTTTCACCCTGCTCCCTCCCTCAGAATCCTGAACTCAGTCATCTCACGGTCACTGCCACCAAGGCTGACCCCACCTTCGCATTCCCGATCAGTTCTTCTTCCTTGTTTTTAAGAATCATGTCCAGGACAGGACCTTTTGCCATTAGCTCCTTGACCTGGGCCACGAAGATGTCATTGGTGCACTCTTGAACCCTCCAGATTGCTTGAGCACTGTTGTATCCAAGGTTCAGATGTGAGGGTGGTTGAAGTCCCTCACGACAACTAGGGCCTGGAAATGGGAGGCTTCTTCCAGTTGTTTGAAGACTTCAGTGGGGGCACAGCTCTGTAACTGCACGCAGACTTCCAGCAGGTCCGAGGAAAACGGCCAGAAGGAATAAGGGAAGGGAGCTGCTGATTAGCAACCTTATGAAATTCCTGCTGTCTCTTCCTTCTCCAGCACAGATGGCAGCTGGACAAGGCCTGTTACAAGAGGAGCTGGACCAAGAAGTCCAGACCGTCAGTCTCATTTACATACTAGAATTTCCAGCCCTTCCATGTTCAACTATCGTTGCTCCAGCTGGAAATACCGATACCAAGCTAAGGTCAAATAGCTCCCTGCCAAAGAACAGCCTAAACTGTATAGCAGCACTTTCCATCCTAATGCTCCTTTTCAAAGCCACACTTAGCTATTTGGGCTTTCTCATTCTATTCTTTTAAGCTCAAATCCGTAGATGACAGCAGTTACGAAATGCTCGGCCATGCATTCTGCCACAGCAGAGCTCTGCTCCAACAAATGTCATGCAATGCTTATCTGGAGCAGTCCGCTGGGTACAACTCTGTGCTCAGTGTAAAACACGTGGTGCATGCAACAATCGGAGAGGAAGGCGGTGCAAACCATAGGATGATTTGCTTAAAGCCCACAGGAGCTTAGTAAGACATTTCTGTTCCAAATCCTTTAGCCAGTGCAGAAGAGGGGATGAAAAATTCCCTTGGTGGTCTCTCCCCTGCCTGGCTTTGCCGCCCTCTTCCTGAAGAATCTCTGCTATGGCTCGAATCTGATAATGCCAGCACCTTCAGAGTGGTCATGAACAACTTTAATGGTCACTTGTGAAAGAGCTCAGACCAAACTTGTTTCCAAGACTGACAGTGTCTCTGTTAGACACAAATATTTTTATCTGTAGACATGGTAACGTTTTTCCAAACAGCACTTAACAGTGGCCAGTGGCTCTTTCATCCACCGCACTGCACTAGCCACTGTTGGCAGAGCACTGGCCACTTTACAGCAAAGTGAACTGTTACCATCCAGGCATCCCCCACAGAAGACTTTGATGAGCTCAAAGACAAGCAAGGCGTTGGACTCCACAGGATGAACAGCTCTTGGGGAGAAACCTGTCCATGAAGGCTGAGGTGCTACCTTGGTGACTGACAAGCTGCCGTCGCTTAATGTGACTCAGATCGTCACCATGCTGAATATTATCTCTCCACCAGGGAGAGATAATATACCTGGTAGAGTTCATGGTGTGTTCATAGGTTTGGGGTGTTTTTTTGGTGCTGGACAGGATTTAGGCTCGTGGCTTTGCCACAGAAAGGCTGCAAGCCCAGTCCTGCAGAACTGGGGCCCGTCAGCCCTCGCACCAGCCACCGGCGCTTTGTGGAGACCAACGCCATCGTAATGGCGGCACAGCCCTCCCACACGCGTCCCATTCCCTCAGCGAAGGAGACCGGAGCACGCCGGGAGCCGCCTTGCAGGAACCCTCCGTAGTGCGACACGTCCGTGTCACAACCAGACACTAGAACAGCCTGAGGAGGAGCCGAATCGCTTCCCAACACAGCCGTGCTGCACCGCCACGGTCGGCAGGCTGCACGACCGTCCCTGCAACAGACCAGATCGACAGAGAGAAAGCGCGGCGCAACCACCGAACCCCGCCCGCTTGGGGCGCGCCCGGGCAAAGGTAAAATGGCGGCCACGCGGACCAATCAGCACGCGGCGCCGGCACGCGCCCGCCCGTCGCCCAGTCCCCGCGCTCCGCGTGCGCTGGACGGTTCCATTCGGCAGCGCTTCCCCCCGCCCGGCCCCTCGGGTGGTCGTGCCCGATCGGTATATAAAGGGGCGCGGAGCACATGCTCTCCTTAGTGCCGGCGGGAGCGGGAGGCGGGCGGTGTGTGTTGTGTCGGTGGGGAGAGGGAGCGGTGGGGGAGTCGAGCGAGCCTCCCAGTGACTTCGCAGTCCCTCGGTGCCCGTGTCCCCGTCCCGTGTGAGGGCTGCCGGTGCCCCCCGCCCGGCCCCGCTCTGCCGCCGCCGCCCCGCGGGATGCGGGCACGGCCCCGTCCCCCGCTAGCCCCGTCCCCCCCGCCGGCCGCAGCATGAGCGCGGCGAGCGATGCGTACGTCTTTATAAAAGACATAAAACCCGGACTGAAAAACTTAAATGTCGTCTTTATTGTGCTGGAGATCGGTAAGTGGCGGCCTCCACGCCCCGCCCGGGCCGCCCACGTCCCGCGGAGCCGCGGCCTGGCCGCGCCGTGCCTCGCAACGCGCTTTCCCCCTCCCTCTCTTCCTCTCTCCTTCCCTCCCTTCCTTCCCGCAGGGCGCGTCACCAAGACCAAGGACGGGCACGAGGTGAGGTCCTGCAAGGTGGCCGACAAGACGGGCAGCATCACCATTTCCGTGTGGGACGAGATCGGCAGCCTCATCCAGCCGGGGGACATCATCCGCCTCACCAAAGGGTGCGTAGGGGCCGCGGCCGTCGCCGGCCGACCCGGGGAGTCCTTTGTCATCGTGCGAAGGCTCGGGGTTGGAAGCAGGCTTGTGCTCCGCGCAGGGAGCCGCGGCCCACCCCATTCGGGCTGGCTCCGCGCGCTGGAGCGGCCCGGGGACCGTTTGCCAAATGAAAGCGGTCCGCTCCAGCCCGGGACTGCCCAGCGCCGGCGTGTGCCCTGCTAGGTGGTGGGAGGGGCCTGCGCTTGTCACGGCGGCGGTGCTGAGGCCCGAAAGAGCTGTTCTCTGGAGCTCTTGTAATAGGGAGTGCGTGTGGCCGACGGTCCCAGTCTGTAAACTAAGCAGGGCAGGGAGAACCGTGTGCTTATCTTTACAGCCTGAACTGTACCCCGGCAGTCGGCTCCTCAACGAAAGGCAGGAATAGCGTCTCTAATGTATGAAAGTTGCTTTTCGTTGCAGTGGGTTTAGCAGGAATGACAGGCATGGGAGAGCCTTCTCAAATTCACTGTAAGCCTGCACGCTGGGGCTACACTGCAGAGCCTATGTTTGGGTAGGTGCCGCTTGATTTCTCACAGTAAAACCACCCATACAGTGTTTCATGGATGTGGCAAGGTAAACAAACAAAAAACACGGCAATTTAAAAATCCTTTTTCACGTCACTTTGCTATTTACACAGTAGCAGTTGCTTTCATTTGAATTCATGTTAGTTAATTTATTCTTCAAATTCATTGCTCTGATAGTTTCCCACAGCACTGCAGGAGATGGTGGTACTGCAGCACGTGTTAAGCTCCTTTTAATTTGTGCTTATGAAAAAAAATAATAAGAAGGTTAGTCATTGGAGCTGTTACCTGAGCTCCTCCACTTGTTTGTTTCAGTGTAGTTCCTGATTTTTAGAAAGAAACTGGATGACCCTTGCTGCCAAGCCTGTAGCTGCTTCCTCCCATGCAGACTTTTTTGTGAAATGGGCTGACTCCTCAGCAGAGGAGGTTCTGGGGAAGCCTGCTTGCGTGGAGAGCACGTGGCAGTGCTGGGGCACTGAAATGTGCAGAGCGAAACCAGGGCTCTGGGCCAGGATAGGGCCTTACGCATAGCTGACATTGAAACAAGTTGTGATACTCCTTAGCAGCATTCTCTGACAGTGGCTTGCTGCAGCTGCTCTGGTAGTTCAGTGCTGCCAATGGGAGGGTCATTGCATCTCTTTATGTTGAAAATTGAGTTTGGCTTGTAGGAATTAAATCTATGAGCTGACATCCACCATCTTTGTAGATGGTTAAGTCATGCCTTTGTTTACATGAATTGCAAGCCTGCTTTAGACTGTGTAATTACAGTCCCTATTACGTGCTAAGTACGTTCTGGTTTGGCTCTTCTATTTGACAAATGCCTTTGAGCAGACATACGAACACTGAACACATACTTAATTCAGTTTGGTTTCAGTGTGGGGTGTTGCCATTGGAAGACAGGTAGATTTCAGCTCTGTTCAGTAGGGTAATCTGATTCTTTCCAGTGCAAGCTGCTTATTCTTGCAAGTAGTAAAGCTTAGCTAGTCTTTACATGTAAATGTGCCTTTCTGTTGCTGAATTTCCAGTAGATATAGATGCATTTCTCTGCAAAAACAGGTACTGTTGTTGTTTACTGTCCCTGGCTGATTAACTCACTTACAGGAAGCTGCTGCAGTTAGCATTTCTAAATTCAGAGTTCTTGAGTTTAGTGTTTTAGGGCCAACTGAGGCAAAACGCACATACCTGGAATAATTTTTTGCTGGAGGGTATCAAGATTTGCTGGGTCTTGTCACATTAAATGTATGCTTTGTTTTTCACTTGTTTCTATTTTCCTTTGTGTTCTGCATGAAGACTGTCCAGCTAACTAATTATTAAAGGTGAAACACAGAGGGAATCATCTTTAAAGCGTAAGGTGGCACCACCAGCTGAAAAACATTACTCCTGCTTCTGAATGGACAACCCAAGACAGGCTCCAAACCACCATGGCACTGTCTGTGCTGAGCAGAGGTCACCGTTGCACTGCTATTAGGGTCCTGTTCTGCCATTGGGGCCCCTCCCTGGTGCTTCTGCTGGGAGCCCTGTGAGTTGTTCAGGCAAAGGACAGGAGGAGGGCTCCTTATCTATATTGTGAAGATAGACCCGGAACATAAGGAAGTGGTGACTCCAGATTATCAGTGACTCCTGAGGGTGGAATGTGTGGGGCTTGCGCTTCCTTTGCAGGAAGATCAACACGCCTATGCTCCTTTTAGGTCCCCTGCTATGCATCCAGGCTTCCAGTGTGAATTTTGCCTTGTTATCCTTACACGATGCTGCTCATGGAAAGGAACAACTCTGAAGAAGGTTTTATATAAGCCCAGATTCCAGTGCCTGGAGCCATTTGTCACTTGTGCTCTGTCCTGTGAATGTTTCTGTAATCCAAAAATGCTAATGGTGTTTTTCTATATGTCACTTGGAACACTGTGTTCAGACTTGTGCCTTAAAATGCTAAGGATCGGTACTGGAAAAGCACTTCCTATTCTACATATTGCTAGCAAAATCTATATTTGTCAGTAAACAAAGGTAATTCTTGAAGGTCTTGAATTCTGGAGTGATCTCAAAGGTCTTATCCAAACCTTGGCAATTCTGTGATTCTTCCTGGCTCTTACTAGAAGTGTAGCAAGTCCCAGAACTGAGACTTGTCATTGACTGGTAACATGGGTCCTGCTTTTGGCAAAATGCCTTTTCTTCAGGAATGGGTCACAAGGTTTTCTCTAGCCGTGGAAAGAGCAATTCTCAAAATAGTTGGCTGGTCTCCTGGAGTTTGCAAGGGATTCAGCTGAGCTTTCAGTAACTTTAGCTAGAGGTAAAACGTGAAGATCAAAATCTTTTAGTGCCGTGAAGTTGAGAACACTTGAGGTCCCTGTGGCTTGTTTAGGGCATTAATTCTGATATGAAGTACCTTCCAACCCTTGAAGATGTCATATTTCTACTTGCTTTTTCAGCAGTGGTGTTTTTCTTTGTCTAAGAGACTGCTTTGCTTGTCCTCTCTTTGGCCAGGTATGCATCTCTGTGGAAAGGCTGTTTGACACTTTACACAGGACGAGGAGGAGAGCTGCATAAAATTGGGGAGTAAGTATTACACATCCATGTCATGGTTTTATGTTCAGTTGTCAGCAGAGCATTGTGGTAAGTATCAGATGCGGTGGCTCTCAGCACATAAATGCTAGGCCAGCAAAACTGTTGTGTGGTCATGGGTAGATAGAATACAGGTACCCCTAACATGAGTTTGCACACTTGTTGCAATGATTTCTGGTCGGCTCTGGTTAAGCGTATTGAGGTAGATTAGCCTCTGTCATGGCACAGGTCTGGATTTTAGGGTTAGATGGTGATGGGATGGCCTGTAAATGACAAAGGACTTAGTGATTGGGCTTGAGTTACCATTTTGATGGAAGCCTTGTGTCTCTTATGCTTGAGAGATGAAGTACAAAGAAGGAAGACAAAGGCAACTTGAGTGAATCGTATTTAAACAGAAACAAGCCTCATTAAACCGTCTTTAAACAGCTTACTAAGTAAGATGGTGACTTATTGTGGCTCAGAAGGAGTAAGGCTGTTGGCAGGCAACAGGTAAAATAGCAACATTTCTAACCAGAAGAGTACTTCTGTTGTTACACAGCGCTGCAGGAGCCCTTGTAGTCATTGGGCAAGTAGTACTATGGGATGGCCCCCCTCTTAGACGAGGAATTATCCGCGGATTTTCTTAGTGCCGAGTCATTGCCTCAGTGTTATCATCCAGCGGAGTTTTAAGTCTGACAGGTTGGATTGAGGTGAGTCTTAGTCTAGGTTCTGCCTCCCAGTGGCAGCTGTACTTCTGTTTAGCAACTCAGAATTGTTGTTTGTGCTATAATTTCCATGTGGTCACTTAGTGGGCCTATTTGTTAAGGCCCACTTAAATGGGAAAGGATGCTCTGAATTTTGTTCTTGTTCTGGGCTTTTCTGCATTATTTTGGTAATGGGGTGCTCATTGTATGGGAATGTGTGGGAGTATTTGTTTTCCCTAGATAGCTAAGGCAGCCATCATCTGGGAGCAGGCTGGGTGACTGTCTCGTGAGTGGGTGCTCGACGAAACTGCAGAGATGAGATGTGAAGGGAGCTCTTTATTACATTTTGTTTTCTTTTGGCTGTTTGACTTGCTACAGCCAAGGTGTAGTTTCCTCTGCTTGACAGAGATAGGTGTGACAGCTTCACCACAGTCCTACACAGGTCAAACAACCAGCAAGGCCTTTTAAAACCTAGTGACCCTTTCTGAAGGAGAGGGCTCTGGATTAGTACTTGGTGGCGGGATGTGTGGAACAAACCTTCTTTGAGTAGCAGAGCTGAGAAATTTACAAACAGTTCTAGAACTTCCCCGTAATGGTAATTTCTCCTCAGGTTCTGCATGGTATACTCAGAAGTGCCAAACTTCAGTGAGCCCAACTCAGAACACATTGGACAGAGCAAACTGGTATGTTGAACTTGTCTGAGACTTCCACCATGAAATGCTCTTTGTTATGAATACTGTGACTCTTCTGGAAAAGTGGTCTTGAACTAATAAGTAGATTTAAGTCAATAACTGGAGTAGCAGGTAACTTCTGTATACAGCTGCAGTAAGAACACAGGAAGAAAATCAATCCCTCTATATGAAATTATGAAAACTTCTCTGATCCATGTTTTTTTTTTATATCTCTCTGAAGGCTCAAGGTGAACAGAATAATAGTTGTGCATCGAGTAATATGAGTTCTTGTACTTTCGGGCCACTGGGTAAGTCATTTTTCATTTTGTGGAAGTGAAAGTATGTCAATGAGAATGAAAAGAAATGTAAAGGTTCTGTTACACTGTGTGGCGACCATGTACTACACTTCAAGTCTTTTGAGTGGGGTCTGAGCTTGCAAGCACATAAACGCAAACATTTCCCGAGTGATGGTTTTGGGGTTTGTTTCCAAGAAGAGGAAGAGATCAGAATATTAATGGTACCTGTGCCATGTAAAGGGATTTAACTAATTCTGGATCATTTTGGTGCTTTCAGAGAGTTGGCAGCACTTGAAATTCTGCTTATAAAGTGGAGTAGAAAGGAGACATTTTGTTTAAGCCACCTGAGATCTTGGCCTTAAAAATCTTGCCATTTACCAGGGTTTTCCTGCCAGGTTAGCTCCTCAAAATAGATAGAAGTGGTGGTAATCTGAATTCTAATATCTGATCTGACTGTGGTTTTGTAATATATTCTGTTTAAACGTTAAGGCTTGAAGAAGTTGCTTCAAAGTCTTGAGTGGGTGTAAGCTCAGGGGGAACCTTATTTGTGGCTGCCTACACGAAGCCCTGTGCCTGGTGTCGTACAGCTAAGCTCTGCTGATGGATGACTGCAAACTGATACATAACTCACTGCTCCAAAGCTCTGTGTAACTTCTAAACAGTGACTGTCTGCTTCTTTCATAATGTGATTATCATTTCATATTGTACTTCACTTATGAGCCTTCTTTGCTTCTTTGAAAGCAAATGCGTCTGAGCAAAGAAGGGCAGTGCTTTCTTAGGCCAGTCTCTCCTTTTCCAAAATGAGCCAAGCGGGCATTTAAACCAGTTGTAATGTAGGCATGTCTTCAGAGGAGATGAAAACAAAATGTGAACAATGATGCTTAAGGCTTCAATTCATGAGTGCTTAGTGCTAGCTGACTTGCTTCTGTGACTGGATCTCACAAGATAGCTTTCTATTCTGAAGTCTGGTAATAGGAGATGATGCAATAAGCTCTGTGCAGCCTGCTTTCCTTTTGCTTGTTTCTGTTTGATTTCTGCCCTGCTATGTCTCTGGAACATCTTGGCATGCTACCTGCAAGCCAGTGTTTCTGAAAGCATTGATCTAGTTTCATTAGATTCATATCTCCCTCATGTGCAAATAATTGTCATGCTACTTGTGGCCTGTCTTGCTTTAGTTGGAAGTGGATGGAAAGGATGGAGAGAAGGTAAGTTGCAGGCTGGGGCCTTGGGAAAGCCAGAGAGGCTCTTTCTAGTGCTCGGGGTTTGTTGGTTGCTGCAGGCTCTGTGTTCCCTGTTGTTAACTTGTGTAGGGGAACAGTGACTTCAGTCAATGGGAACTCGTGATGACCTTTTTTTTTTTTCTTTTCTAGGAAATGGTTTACAAACTGGACCCGAATCAAGTGGATTTCCATTTACATATAATCACGGCCACTCTTACGCAGGTAGTGGGAGAGGCAATGGACGAGGACCTGTAAATCCAGCAACAGCTAATAGTGTTCAGCCTCTTCCCCCTGCTGTCAGTAATGGGAGGGACCCACGCAGAGCCTTTAAAAGATGACTATGCCAAATGTGCTTGTACAGCTTGCTTAAACTCTACACTCTACTTGAACACTTATTGCACTTTTATTTATGGTTAACTGTGAACCAGTTTGTCTTTTTTTTTTTTTAACCTTTTGGTCTATGGAGCAAACTTAATGTGATATTTTTGTTTTGCTTAGGGAAGCACAGGGAGTCTTCCCATAAATTAAAGGAATAGGGAGAAAAGGTGGATAATAAAGAGGGTTGAGGGGTAATGGTTTGAAGAGTCTCAATTAAAACTCAATACCCTTTGTCAAATGGAAGCAAATTTTGGTAATGTGTATGTATTTTTCTGTTTCTCTTGGTCAACCATAGAGCCTTAAATGGTTTGTCACGTCCTGTGTGCACATACGTTGACTTCCAATAGTGGGAGTACTTTGTATTGGAAGAGAAATGTTGGAGAAGGGAAAACGCTGTAGTGAACTAGGTGTCCTTAGAATGGGCATAGCTTGCAAAAGCAATAAGTATAAGGAAGTGATGTCGTCAGCACTTTGTGGTGCCTCCTAAATCAGAACTATTAACGTAGACAGAAGTTGAAGACCTCGGAAGTGTCTTGAGGCCTTACCTCCAATTCCAAAAGCCTGTATACTCTTCTAAAGAAAAAATCTCAGTAATACACCATTATCAGTGTCAAGGAGAGCAACACTGATTATTTTTGCTTTGGGTAGAAGCTTGGATACTCATTCTTACTTTGCTTGGAATGCGACAGATCTAAATACAGGTAGCGCTGGAGAATACTGTTCGTAGCTATGCCTGGTATAGAAAGCTCAGAGCTAGTTTTACTGGACTCTGCATCTCCAAGAAAGAATGAGTTTCAGAAACTGTTCTCAAATGCTGCATTGCATCTCTCTTTGATGAGGCTGCCTACTTTTCCTTCATTCACTTTTCCAAATGAATTATACATTAGATCAAGCTGGATGTGTTGATTGCAGAGGTACTGGCCAAGCACACAGCTGCAGTTCTGATGCTTTAAGCTTTTGTCCCTCTGTTTTATGTGGAATACGAGTTATCCCTTAGAGAACTTAACCCCCACCCCAATCTTCCCAGGAGGGAAATAGCTGTGGTTTTATTTCTGATATTACAAATGTTTTGAGGCTAGATATTAAAAGTTCTGTGCCATATTTCAGATCAGGTTTAAAATACAACTTCGAAGCTGAGATGTCATACTGGATTCATCTGTTTAACTCTTCTTATAGCTGACCTCTCAAATAAAAATTGCACTAACCATTTAAAAAAAAAAAAAAACAAATCTAACTCTCTTTGTCAAGCCGAAAAGACTTTGTGACAAAAAGCTATTTCTGAATTGCAAGTTGTCTGCGTCATCCTTGTTAGTTGAATATATCCCGAAATTATTGTTGTTTACAAGTTATGTTTGGTACTCTATTAAGATATGTTGACAATTGCCTCTGAGGGGCAAAGGTTCCTTGCTTAATTCTGAAATACCAATCTGTCTTTTAAAAGCAGGCAGCAGCAAATATCTGAAGGAAGCTCTAGGGAGGCTTGCGTACTGTTTGTCTCCCGTTCAAGTGTTTTCCTGATGCCTGCTGCCAAATTTGTCTTGCATACAGGGGAGGGTGACGCGCCTCCTGAGGACACTCGCTGGTGCTGATACGGGACAACAGCGGTAACTTGTAAACCTAAAGCACGCAGTGAATTCTGGGGAGGTGGTGTAAAGAAATGTGTAACTCAGGGACTTCAAATTGCTTATGTATTAAGAAAAATAAGACCTTGCATAGAGCGTAGACGTGTGGAGAAGCTTTTATGTGGTGTTGCATTAAGATGTTTGATATGCTTGTGAGAAGGAAGCCAGGAGGACTTCTAAACCTGTGAAGTACGCGTGACGTGTTCCAAAGGTAAATGAGATGCAAATATAGTGGAAGAGTTGTGCTTTGCAGTCACAGCTGTAACTGTAGTAAGTGAGCAGTGCAATTGATAGCACAGTGGTGACTTTGTATTTGTTGGGATTCCTCAGTTGTGGATGTCTGCAATCCTAGTGATCTTGGTTTCTCTACAATAATAAAGAAGGTTGATTATAGTTCTGAACCCATTCTCAGTGTATGCTGAGGTACTTACCTGGTGTTTTCAGCTCTATGCATTTGGTCTTTTTATTAAGCTAATAAATGAAGTTGTTCACATACAAAATAGAGATTACTAATGATGTGAAATTTAAATGTTTGTTGCCAAATGGACAATTGATTTGCAGTTGGGAGGAAAGAAAGCACAAGAGGCCGGTCTCCATGTTTTCAAGGTTAGTAACGTTCCTGCCTTTCTGTTTCTTGTGTGAAACTATTTCAATTTATTAATGAATTTTTACTTCTTTGCAGGGGAGATCTGTGCCCTGAAAAGTCGCATGGACTTAAAGTAAATAATCATAGCAACTTTTCAAGGTTCCTCTGAGCTTCCTGTGAACCTAATAGAAAAAAGTTGTTTCCCTCAGAGGTATCAGTGTCAAGATAGAGAGCTCTCAACTTCCAGAGGCATCTGCGAGCCTGCCTTGCATCTGGATCCTGTCACCTTGCTGTATGGAGGCTTGCACAGAAACATTTCTCTGTGTAAACAAGCAGTGGTCATGAATTACTCAGACACTATAAGCCTGTTTGTGGGGCCCACTGGTTAGGACTATAGGAAGTTTTTAACACAAGTCTTTAGGTAGATCCTGCGCAGCCCTTCCTTTAGATTATTCTCATTTTATGGAGTGTAGATCACAGCAGGATAAACTTGGAAGATGCTCACCTGTCCAAACTACAGCTTGCAGTGCATTTGGGTATCCAAATCACTAGTGCTGCTGTCTTCCCCTACGCCAAAGGGACTGCTCCAGACTTCAGCAATATTGCAGTGCAGAGTTTTGCTACGTGCTTAAATCCTATCTCAGAATGAGTCTGTCCATTCCTTCTTAAAGTGGAAAAGCAGCCCTGTACTGTGAGGCACCACTTAGCCTTCAACATGTGCTGAGGCCACGTGATCTACAACCACAGGGATAAGGGAGGGAGGAGGGGGTGCTAAGTAACATGAAACCAGTGATTATGCATCACATGCCTCCGTCTTGTGTTTACAAGTCATCTGAATAGCTTTGGCCTTTAGTTAAAACTGCCCAAGCTGCAGTCCTGTGCAGATTTACAGTATTGCACAAGTACTGTTAAGCGTATGGGCACTGAGTGCTGCTTCTGTGAAGGTGCTGTGGGCTGTGTGACACCTTTTTCTGTGTAAGTGAAGTCTGTATAGGTGAGAAAAGTATTGTGAGGATGCTAGTCGTGGCCTGACAGCTCGTATCTCTGAGCCCAAATGAGTTTTTGTAGGCCCTAATGCCCATGTTTTGCTGGTGGACTGGTTGTTCTATGGTCCTCTACAGCTAATGCCCTTACCGTCCCAAAACCAAGAGTTGTTGCCTGTTCTCATAGAGGCAGATTCAAGTGTTTCAGCTGGAGCTTCCCCACTGTGTTCTCGAAGGCCTGGTGTTTTCCCTGCTCCTTTTGCATTTGTGAAGTTTTGCCTTGTTTTTCTCTAGCCAGGGAGCCAAGCATTTCTTAGCATGACCAAATGCAATCTGGCAGTGTTTTCCAGGGGAGCCCAGCGTGGCTTTGCACGCCAAATTAGCCAGGGGCTTGCTCCTAACCATCTCACATTGATCAACTTCAGGAGATTCTCCCCTTAGCTGAGCACCAGCATGTTACAGGAAAGTGTGGGCAGCCTGGGTCCTATGGCAGGGTACCCACATCCCATTTTATCCGTATAAAACAAAGCAGGGGGCAACTGCCGCTGCGTCACTTCGAGAACTCATTCAGGGAAGCACTTCCTGACTTCAGCTGTCATCATGTTATTCATTCCCTTCCCTGTAGTCACGTTCCAGGGAGGTTGAGTTTGTTGCAGCCCTTTGTGGGGTTTATGCTTTTTGATCCATTCTGTGCTGGGCATCTGTGCGTGTATGTATGCATGTGAACACAGCATCTTGCAGTGGGGATGGTAAAAGTCCTAAGAAAGCGAGTTACTAAACTACAGAGGGTGGAGTTCAAAGGGATTAGAAGCTAAGTTTGGAGATGACTAAGGGGAACAGTTAAGGACTGTGTTTGGATTCATAAATCTCCAAATTCCTGACGCTTGTCTTTTTTTTTTTTTCCTCAGGAAGAAAGCAATGTAGGTATAAGAGCTGTGTTTATAGCCATGCTCCCAGCTGATAAACAGGGACCAGGTTTATACATTTCCTAGGGAGCAAGATTAGAAAGGAATGAAACATCAGGATTTGTCAGAGCTCAGGGAGAATTCTCGTGTGCTGGTAACTGTTCAGAGCTAATTCCCTCCTGTGAGCTGAAATGGGGTGGAGTCTGTGCTGCTCAGGGGAAGTCCAAGGCGCTGCTGTGCTCCAGTGCTGACCGGCTGCCATGTGGTAGGGAAACTGGTATGTAAAAGGAATAAATCAGCTTAAAAATTGATAACCCGAGCTCTAAAATAGTGCAGTTGCACGTTGCAGGACCATGTAGTGATGTGTGAGTTCTCGCTGCGTGTGATCACGGTTTGCCTTTGGCCCTGTGCAGGCAGTAGGATCGCAGCTGTGAAAGCAGAGGTGATGGGCAGAGCTGCTGGGAGCTGAACTCAGCATTGGTGTAGAAGCTGAATGCAATGGAAAAGCTGAAAGCCACAGCCACTGTGTAGGCTTTTCTTTCTAAATTGAGAAAATTAGGTACACAGGTGAAATTCGCATTTCTCTCTTTTTTTTTTCCTGAAGGGGAGGGAAGGGAGAGCAAAGCCCCACATCCTGCCAGGTGGGCTGTGCAACCATTTGCATCTGATCTGTTCCACCTGGTGCTGCTCCTGGGCCAGGCCCTTTGTAACGGGGCGGGCACAGGGAATATTCTCAGACATATATTCCTGCTTGCTTCGGAGACCCTTATAGCTGGGAGGCAGCAGGTAAAGCCTGGAACAGGAGAGCTGGTGACTTTGGCAGGTAGATGTTTAAAACGCTTGGACAAATGCTGTCAGGAGTGGTTTGGGGAGAGGGGGAGTGATTTTGGCACAGGGCAAGTGTGAGGATGCATTAAATGATCTCCTGAAGCTCTTTCCACTGTTATTTTGTATGATTTATGCATTAGCTTCGTTTTTGTAATTTCCTCTTTTCTAGGTTGATTAATGCTAAATTTAATTTTCTGTAATCAACTTGAGCATGCAACTTGAAGAGATGAGGTTTAGGCTGATTGCAGTAAAAGTCTACCTATCCTGTCTAGCTTGAATAAAGCAAAACTATTTTTATCTCTAAATTATGCAATATTTTCATGGTACTCTGCAGCGTACTTATATTTAGCCTTGGAATGGAGTGCTCTGTTTTTTCAAATCACCTAATACAAACTTTGAAAATGGGTTTTTTAATTATGAGGGACCCACCTGCATGCCATCAACCAAATTATTAGCAAGGCAGGGAAGGATAACCAGTACTGCTGTCAGACTTCAGCTGCATGCGAAAAAGGTTTAAATGCCAGGAACAGAAGTTGCCAAGAAATAACTTTAAACACCAGGTGCTGGAGAAACAAATTAATATGGCTTATTTTTAGAAATAGCTAATGGAGGCCTGATGCTGGCTTTTACAGCAGCACTTGACTGGGCAAGAAAACCAACAAAAAGAACACAACCTCTTTTTTAAAAATAAAAAGAAAGAAAGAAAAAGATGCAATTTAATTAAAAGCCTTAATTAGGGAGGAAAAGAGAACCTGCTCCCTTCTTCTCTAATTTGTGAGACTCCAGTGAGCTGTTCCTGTGCTCTTACTTATTGGAATTGCCTTTGATGTGGTTTGGGATGACCTTGAAGTAAGAAACCTCTGTGCAGAAGCGGTTCCTGAAAGCCTTTCTGCAGCACTTGCAATTGAGGTTCATTTTGGCTGCATGTTGCTGCTGGCAGGGCCCGCTGCTAGGAACGGTGAGCCGGAGTGTTCTCACTCAGCTGATTTCCTCCAGTGGTGTAGGGAGTCAGAGTTAATTTCTAGATGAAGCAGGACCTGAGACATTATTGAGTATCGTGAAGCCAACAAGAGGGATATCATAGAATCCTTAGAGTTGGAAGGGATTTTTAAAGGCCATCTAGTCCAGCTGCCCCACAATAAACAGAGACACTGCAGCTAGATCAGGTTGCCCGGAATCTGGTCCAGCTGGACTTTGAAAGCTTCCAGGGACAGAGCATCCACCACTCCCTGTAAAAGACTTTTTCCTTGTATCCAACCTAAATCTACTATTTTTTAAGCTTGAAACCATTTCCCCTTGTCCTGTCACCTGTTCAGCTGAAGAGCCTGTCCTCTTCTTTTCTGTACCTTCCCTTTTTGAAGGGCTGCTCTCGGGTCTCCCCAGAGCATTCTCTTCTCCGGGCTGTACAGCCCCAGCTCTGTCAGCGTGTCCTCACAGGAGAGGTGTTCCATTCCATGGATCATTTTTGTGGCCCTCCTCTGGATGCACTCCAACAGTTTGATGTCTCTTTTAGACTGAGGACTCCACATCTGGATGCAGTACTCCAGGTGAGCTCTCAAGGGCGCAGAGCAGAAGGGCAGCTTTGAAAAACTGCTGCAGTAAGCTTCCCCTAACTTTTTTAGCAAAGTGGATTTGCGGGGGCAATCAGGGCCACTTTGTCAGTGGTTTGGCTGAGGATATACGTTACAAAACCTGGGTCTTTCTGGTAGGTACAACTGGCTGGGAGCAACGTGGGAAAACAGAGATGTGTTGATTATGGGTGGCTGTTGGATGCCTGTTAACAAGGAACAGCCTGTTGTGTCTGTAACAACCTGGTGGCTTTGGGCATGTGCTTCAGCAGTCCGTTTTCAGTGGGCTGAGTTGACTTTGGTGGCAGTGATAAGCAGATCTTTCTGTAAGAGCCTGGTGCAATGAGTGCAGCTGGGATCAGAGGCTTTTTGTCCAGCTATTTGGTGAGGTTGTGTGGAGGAAAGTGTCCCTGTGACTGTATTTTTAGGAACTGCAGGTGTTTCCTGCACCTGTCTTTGATGGTTTGCCCTGCTGCTTCTGCTAATAACCGTTTTCTTCAGTACAGTTCTGATTTGTCTACTTGTGTTATTACTCAATTAGAGCAGGTCTGTTGTTATTATTTCTGCTGGTGCCAGCTCGTTTTAGCATTACCTACGTAATTCCCAGCCCTTCCCGGTGAGGTCCCTGTTTCTCCCTGGGGTCTTGTGGCACCGCCGGCCGTAGCTCTGCCGATGGAGCCTCTGGGGTTCGGGAAGGCACTTTGTGTGTCATCCTAGCAAGTTGTGCACGACTCCAGGCACGGGGCTTCTGATTCGGCTGCTGAGAGGACTTTGATAAAGAAGAAAGGACTGTTTTTTATTCCTTACGGCTGCAAATGAAAAAGCTTTTCACTTGGGAGTCGTGGGTCATATTTATGGAAATGTGACGAGCGGTTGCAATATTTATAGCGGTTACAGGAGCGATTGAATCTATCTTTTATTGATACATATTTACATGCCCACAGAAATCCTATTGCACTGTAGCTAAGAGAATTTTATTTAGATTTAGTATTTTGAAGTAATTTTTTAGTGCTTCTCTATTATCCAAGGAGTGTAAGATTCGATATTTCAAGTAGAACTGTCACCAAACAGCCGGAGGTTTTTAAAGGATTTTTATTTTACATAAAGATAAATGTTGAAGACACATTTTTCAGAGACACCATCTGTTCCATGTTGACCTTAATTTTCTGGATGAGTGCTTTTCCTCAAACGTTTTAAGTCTTGTCTACATTTCATTTGCTTGGGAGTGTTTAGGATATTTGTTGAACAGGAAATCAGATATTCAGAATGCAAACACACCATTACATTGCAAATTATTGCCTTTGTATAATTTAGCAAACTGCTGGGTAAATAGTTCTGCAGAGTGGTGGGGGCAACGCTGCCTCTGACATCTGGCAGATTGGCTTTTGGTGGGGCTGCATTTGATAGAATCGCAGAACTGTTTGAATTGGAAGGGACTCTTAAAGGGCATTTGGTCCAACTCCCCTGCAATGAACAGGGACACCCACAGCTTGATCGGTGCTCAGAGTCCCATCCAGCCTGACCTTGAATATCTCCAGGTATGGGGCATCCACCATCTCTCTGAGCAGTCTGTTCCAGTGCCTGGCCGCTCATATTGTAAACAACTTCTTCCTTATATCCATACTAAATCTCTCCTCTCTGAGTTTGAAACCATTTATCTTTGTATCACAACAGACCCTGCTAAAGAGATTTCTTGTGAGAGCCAGCACTGCTGGCCTACAGATGCCAAGCAAGAAATATGAAGGTCCCACTGTGACAGTGGTGCATGAATGGCTCTGGCCTGCTCTGTAGGCACTCTGTAGGGACAGGGATAGGATAAGGGCTTGTTGTCTTTGTGGCCCTGGTGCAATTTGCTCTTCAGACAGAAAAATGTTTAGTTTTGTGAGATAAAAATACATTTGTTTCCGTGTATCTGCTTTTCCATGGTATCTTCAGAAAATCTACTTAATGTCGGTAGCATCATCATAGAATGATGGGTTTAAAACCATCTGATTGTGTGCTTGTTATGTTTCTGTAGATAGTTCTGCAGCAAGAGGTCTGTTTTGCTTTGTACAAATAATTATTTTGAGACAAAACATCCAACTTCTATGTGATTTAAAGGAGGCATTCTTTAAACTCTGCTTTTGCTTGGATATGGTCATAGCTGCACAGCAGCAGTTAAGTGTATGTAATGTGACAAGAAGTACTTTGGTCTACTATGTTGCAAGGTAACTACGAAATCATTGTGGAGCTATTTGGAAGAGCGCAACTGTGTTTCTTCAGTTGGTATGAGACAGTTGAAGGCAAAATGCTTATCCGTGTGAATATCTGAACTGCCTTGAGGTGGCACTAGAACATTTGTTGTAAACGTCTGGGGCTGGGGAACGCTGCTGCTTTCTGCTGGCCCATAGGAGAGGTCAGCATAAGCAGAGCTGCCAGAGGAGAGAGAAGGAAGGTGGGTTTTGAGCATTATTTTTTCAAATTCACTTTGCACAGGAATGAATATAAGTCACTATTTTGAATCTGTGGTTCCAATAAAGCATGCTCTACTTGAAGGAAATTGCAACATACGCACATGTTGAAAAACAGAACAGCATTTTGCCTCATTAGAGATTGCTGCTTATCCCAGATAATCTCCGGATTATAACTAATTAATGTACCTACACCTGAATATGGAGATAGCTACAGGTGAGAAGGAGCTTATTTGTAATGAGCTTTTTATCTGGTGGAAATGAACGGATTCCCCAAATGCTGTCCTTTCATCCAGAATTTCCTCACCAAGAACTGGGTAATTTAGGGATACAGACTGGTTCTGTTGTGCCACAAGCTCTTTGCTCCCTTGCCATGGTGAGTTAGCACTTGGGGTCCTTTAACCCAAGTCTGAAGGAGAAAGACATCCCTTTGGCTAGTCTCAGTGATAGCAAAGAGTAGGTGTTAGCATCTGTAGCCAAATGCAGTCCTAAACATCATTTACTGGCTTGTCCCAATGCAGACAAATAGTTTTCACACTTGATTATGAAAATAGCACTAATTGTCATCTGGTTATTCTAGGCTATATACATTTTCTCCCCTCCAAGGTAAAAAATGTAGATTTTCTGATTAACAGCAACAGTAAAATATGACTGATTTATTTGAGAGCTGCTTTTTGCCAGGCATGCTGCGATAACAAAAGTAGTGTTCATTATGACATTGTACTGAGTCACTTGTTGATGCTATTTGAGGGAGAGAATTTGGTTAAGAAACTGGAACAGGATGTTCATTTTATTTCAGTCTTTGTAATCCTGAGTCATCTCTAATAGCTGATGAAACACAGAAACTCACATTTTAGACGGGGCTTCTCTTAACATAATTTTGGGATGCTGTAATTTGGTAGAGGGTAGAGAAAACACAAAAAACCCCACAAAGCTGATTTTGTGCAGAGAGTTTTGTTTTAGTTGTCATTCTCTGCCGAAGCACTCGTAAACTTTGTACACCTGCAGCATTTTGCCATGTCTTTAGTTATTTTGTTGGTGGGTTGCGACACGGGTTGATGTGTGCATAGCTCACAACTGTGCAGGTATTTGGGTTTTGAAAACGCCGTTTCTGCTGTGTGCTTTCTGGCTGGTTTAGGGATATGGCTTGTGGGCTGCACCCACTGGATGCTTGTGGGCTGCTCCCACTGGTGGGCAGCGTGGGGAATGCCATTAGGTGCATGTGAAGCAAAGAGAAAAGGCTGAATTCGTGTTTTAACTGCAGTTTTGGATATAATCTTATGTGAA